GGAGAGATGGCTCAGCAGTTAAGAGCACTGGCTATTCTTGCAGAAGACCCAGGTTCGTATCCCAGCACCCATATGGCAACTAACAACCATTTGTAACTTCAGTTACAGGTGATCCAGTGCCCTCTTCTGACCTCCACAGGCATTGCAGGACACAGGTACACTTACTACCTACATGCAGGCAATACATGCATACACATAAAATAAAAATAATAAATAATTTTTTTAAAAAAAAGAGAGACTACTATCGCCCACTGAGTTCACAGGGTCACTAACCAGTGACTGGCCAGGATGGAACCCAGGTCCCCAGTGTCTATGTCTGTCTATCTGTCTGTCCAGCCCTAGCTGCTTTCCCCTTATAGGCACACCTCCAGGAAACCAGCCACTGACCTGGAGGAAACAAAGGCATGGTCCCGGATGGCTTGCACAACATCATCAAACTTGATCTTGGTGGTCCGCGTCCAGCCGTGGTAGATGATGGGTTTTCCATCAGGCCCATCCAAGCAGCCCACTGAGGGAAGAAACTCACATCCTTAGCACCAGCAAGCACAGCCAGGAGGAGAACAGGTGGACACATGACTGGGCTGAGAGCCCTGAGGTCTTAATATCTTAACATCTCAAAGATATTCATAACGCGTTTTACTTCCTGATGTCAGCTCTTCAGGCCCTGGACCTGTTTTTTTCTTTCTCCTCCTTCTTTGTGAGACAGGGTCTTCCTATAGCCCTGGCTTGTCTGAAACTCGCTATGTAGACCAGGCTGACCTCGAACTCACAGAGATCTGCCTGCCTCTGCCTACCAAGGAGGTCTTCAGTTCAGCTGCCTCTAAACTCTGATACCAACATGAGCACGTTTAATAACGGGAGCCTCAGTCGGCGGTTAGGATCTTTTTCTCCAGCCATGTACACTGCTATGGTTTAGAAAGGTGTCCCTGAAAAGCACGTGTGTTACAGGCTTGGTCCCTGGGGTGGCGCTCTTGTGAGGGGTAAGGTATAACAGGCCCTTAGGTCATCAGGAGGGTGTCTTTGCAGGGGATTGTGAGACTGCAGCCTCTTCTTCTTTCTCCCCTAGTTTCTAGCTTATGATGGAAGCAAACTAGTGCTGCCATATTTTCTTATATGCATCATCATAGGCCGAAACAATGGGCCCCGATATAGACCGGGAAGAGAAAATAAACTTTCTGCATCATTATAAGTTAATTAACTCAGGAATTTTGTTTCAATGTGAGCTTCTGGTGATGCACTGAGGCTGGCAAGGAGAGAGCCAAAGATGGGCTGGGAAGACCAAGCCCTTGCCATGCAATCCTGGGGACCAGGGTCCAGATCCCAGAACCCATGCAAAGGCCTGCTGGCCTGCCTGTAGTCCCAGCACTTGGGAAGTAGACACAAGGGTTCCCTGGGCAAGCTGGATAGCTAGACCAAAGCTCTGGGCTCAGCAAGAGAGCCTGCCTCCATTAATGAAGTGGAGAGGGACTGAGGAGATATCGATCTCTGGTCTCCATGTGCACGCACCTCCCCAATGCACATGTGCAAGAAAGAGCCAGAGGCGATGAAAAGAGAGGACAGGAACAAGCTCTGCCACCTGCCCAGCCAAGGACCCCACTTGGTGGTCGTCCTCACAGCCCCACGTACAGATCATGTAGCTCCTGGCTGTGCTACATTAATATACATGCATCTATCTTTCTCAGAACAATAAATGACTGTTGCTGGTACCCCCAGCTCCCACCATATCAGGACACTTCCTATGCACCCCAAACGATGGCCTGGCCAGACGGCACTCTGTCTTGTCTTGCGGACATCTGTCTTCCACGGAAAGATCTTCAGCCACCTTTCTCTCAGTAGTTACGGGCACCTGGCCTCCCTCATCCTGCCCTCCCTAATTATCCAAGCCATAAACACCAAAAAAGCAAGAAGCAGGTGCAGAGCTCCATGGCTCCCTTCCAGGCATTGCTGAGACCGGGGCAGGCTACTTACATTCAATGCAATGGCAGCCGGCACGCAGGCAGCGGATGTACGCCTCTATGGACGACTCGCTGCGCAGCTGGTCCCTGGTGAGGTACCTGAGGGACAGAGGGTGGTCTGCATGATGGAGGCAGTCCTGCATCCAATGTGTGCCTAGGAACCATCTCCCTGCACCCAGGGCATGCTTGGGGACTGGCTTAGCCCCAGTTCCCAGGGGCCAGAAGCCTCTAGTCTAGATATACCCAGACTAAGGTCTAGGCCATTGCACATGCCATCCTGTGGCCTTGGGCTTGGAATCACATGTAGGATGCATGTGAGGGACCCTTAGGCAATCCTTCTAGAAGACCTCAGTGGAAGGTGTCAGGCACAAAGAAGCAAAGAATAAGCTAATGGCCCCCATGGTTGCCCACTGGGCCCTGGGTGTCAGCAGAGATGGGCCCTTGCTTTGTCCCTGGGGCCCGAGGCCAGCACAGGCGCACTCAATGATTCCTGGTAGAATTTAGGATGCCATGTACCTAGTCCACCAAAACTGCCATAAAATACATTTTAAAACACTTTATTTATTTGCCAGGCATGGTGGTACATGCCTTTGATCCCAGCACTCGGAAGGCAGAGGTAGGTGAATCTCTGTGAGTTGAAGGCCAGCCTGGTCACATAGTGAGTTCCAGGCCAGCTGGGGCTACAGGGAGACCCTGACACAAAAAGACCAAAAAATGTATTTATTATTTTATGTGTATGAATGTATTGCCTGCATGTATGTAAGTGTACCCATGTTGCTCAATGCCCAAGGAGGTCAGAAGAGGGTGCCAAATCCCCTGGCACTGGAGTTACGGACAGTTGTTAGCTACCAAGTGGGTGCTGGGAATTAAACCTGTATCCTTTGCAAAAGCAGCCAGTGCTCTTAACCACTAAGTCATCTCTCTAGCCCCATAAAATATATATTTTTGAACACATAGTAGTTGTGTTTCTATGTCTGGCTTATTTCATTTAACATAGTGACTTCCAATTCCTTCCATTTTCCTGCAAATGTCATGATTTCATTTCCTTTATAGCTGTGAAGCTGGGTATGGTGGCGCACACCTTTAATCCCAGCACTCGGGAGGCAGAAGCAGGCGGATCTCTGTGAGTTCAAGGCCACCCTGGTCTACACAGTGAGTTCCAGGACAGCTGGGGCTACAGAGAGACCCTGTCTCAAAAAGATTTAAAAAAAAAAGTGCAATACTTTATAGCTGTGTACAATTCCAGTGAGGGGAGGGGAGAGAGAGAGAGAAAGAATTCCATATTTCTTTATCCATTCTTCTACTGATACACATCCAGGCCGGCTCCATTTCCTGACTATTGTGAACTGAATCACAGTAAACATGGATGTGCCTGTGTCCCTGTGGTATGCTGACTTTTAGAGTCCTTCGGAGTGGTTTAGCTGGGTCACACAGTTCTATTTTCAATTTTGTGAGGGGTCTCCACACCAGTTTCCATGGTGGCTATCCCAGTCTACATTCCCACCAGAAGTGATAGGATTCCCCTTTCCCCAGAGTCTACCAGCACCTGTCATTTGTTTACCTGATCACAGCCATTCTGACTGGGGTGAGACAGAATCATAATTGCATTTAATTTGCATTTCCATGATGGCTAAGGAGGTTGAACACTTTTTCCAAGTATTTATTGGGAGGTCTGGGTTTCTTTTGAGAACCTGTCTGTCCAATTCATTAGCCCATTTAGTGATTAGAAGTTGAGGAGAAGAGGGAAGGTGTTTAAGAAAATACAAATTTTGAAATCTTTGCATCCTCACCAAGCCACACCCCTTGGAAGGGTTCCTTGGGTATCTCTAGGCTTGGTAAAACTGACTGTCCTAAGATATAAACTCCTAAAACAACAGGCAGAGTAGGGGTACAGGTACACACACAGTAGGAAGACAGACCATGGGTACAGTAGAAGACACACCATGGGTACAGTAGGAAGACATACCACGGGTACAGTAGAAGACACACCACGGGTACAGTAGGAAGACACACCACGGGTACAGTAGGAAGACACACCCCGGGTACAGTAGGAAGACACACCACGGGTACAGTAGAAGACACACCACGGGTACAGTAGAAGACACACCACGGGTACAGTAGGAAGACACACCCCGGGTACAGTAGGAAGACACACCACGGGTACAGTAGAAGACACACCACGGGTACAGGAGAAGACACACCACGGGTACAGTAGGAAGACACACCCCGGGTACAGTAGGAAGACACACCACGGGTACAGTAGAAGACACACCACGGGTACAGGAGAAGACACACCACGGGTACAGTAGGAAGACACACCCCGGGTACAGTAGGAAGACACACCACGGGTACAGTAGAAGACACACCACGGGTACAGGAGAAGACACACCACGGGTACAGTAGGAAGACACACCCCGGGTACAGTAGGAAGACACACCACGGGTACAGTAGAAGACACACCACGGGTACAGGAGAAGACACACCACGGGTACAGTAGGAAGACACACCCCGGGTACAGTAGGAAGACACACCACGGGTACAGTAGAAGACACACCACGGGTACAGGAGAAGACACACCACGGGTACAGTAGGAAGACACACCCCGGGTACAGTAGGAAGACACACCACGGGTACAGTAGAAGACACACCACGGGTACAGGAGAAGACACACCACGGGTACAGTAGGAAGACACACCCCGGGTACAGTAGGAAGACACACCACGGGTACAGTAGAAGACACACCACGGGTACAGGAGAAGACACACCACGGGTACAGTAGGAAGACACACCCCGGGTACAGTAGGAAGACACACCACGGGTACAGTAGAAGACACACCACGGGTACAGGAGAAGACACACCACGGGTACAGTAGGAAGACACACCCCGGGTACAGTAGGAAGACACACCACGGGTACAGTAGAAGACACACCACGGGTACAGGAGAAGACACACCACGGGTACAGTAGGAAGACACACCCCGGGTACAGTAGGAAGACACACCACGGGTACAGTAGAAGACACACCACGGGTACAGGAGAAGACACACCACGGGTACAGTAGGAAGACACACCCCGGGTACAGTAGGAAGACACACCACGGGTACAGTAGAAGACACACCACGGGTACAGGAGAAGACACACCACGGGTACAGTAGGAAGACACACCCCGGGTACAGTAGGAAGACACACCACGGGTACAGTAGAAGACACACCACGGGTACAGGAGAAGACACACCACGGGTACAGTAGGAAGACACACCCCGGGTACAGTAGGAAGACACACCACGGGTACAGTAGAAGACACACCACGGGTACAGGAGAAGACACACCACGGGTACAGTAGGAAGACACACCCCGGGTACAGTAGGAAGACACACCACGGGTACAGTAGAAGACACACCACGGGTACAGGAGAAGACACACCACGGGTACAGTAGGAAGACACACCCCGGGTACAGTAGGAAGACACACCACGGGTACAGTAGAAGACACACCACGGGTACAGGAGAAGACACACCACGGGTACAGTAGGAAGACACACCCCGGGTACAGTAGGAAGACACACCACGGGTACAGTAGAAGACACACCACGGGTACAGGAGAAGACACACCACGGGTACAGTAGGAAGACACACCCCGGGTACAGTAGGAAGACACACCACGGGTACAGTAGAAGACACACCACGGGTACAGGAGAAGACACACCACGGGTACAGTAGGAAGACACACCATGGGTAGTAGGGAAGGCAGACCACCCCATCATTTGCCTTGGAGAAAACCTTTACCTTCCCACACACCAAGAAGATGGCATACTGGGGGCCTTGCTTACTGTCCCACCTCAAAGGACACTTGGGAACATGCCCACCTACAGCCTCTGCAGCCTCTGAGCCAAGCATTCCATCCACAACAGCCACCCACCTCTCTCTCCCTCAACCCATCCTCTTTTGACATCAGTGTAATTATCCAAGCATATTGATCTCTGGTTCACGTAGCCAGAGGCTCCCCTGTGCCCTCCTTGTGACTTACAAGCTCCATTCACCCCGGTGCCCTCTCCTGCCTCTACTCTCTTAGATGTCACACTGCAGCCTCACAGACTCCTCACAGCTGCTCCCGACCCGGGGCCTTTGTACACGCTACTGTTCTGTGTGAAACTCTCCTGCCCACTCTGCCCTTTGCTTCCCCACCAGCTTGTACTCAAGGCTGACACTTAGTGGTCATTCACATGAGCCTGGAACTGCCCCTATATTGTTCACTGGTGAATCCTCAGTACCCCATTGGCAGAGGGCCTGACCCAGAGCAGATCTCCGCAAACACAGGCTCACTGCCTGAGTGAACACTTGGAGGATGCGATGCTCAATCATGAAAAGCCAGGTTTGCTAACGGGCTTTGAAAAGCTGCAGGTGATGCATATTTATTCCAGTGCTACATGGGAAGGGAAGCTGTGCTCCCCTACTCCTTTCCAGAACCTTCCAAACATCATGGCACTCACACTCCACCCACTCACCACTAGCTTTGCCAGGGCAGTGCTCAGGGGCACCAGCCATGTCACTCAATGTTCTGCAGAGCCACCCCAGGCACGTCAGGAGACTCACGTGTTGTGGGAGGAAGAGATCTGACAAGGGGTTGTTCATGTCCTGCATGTCCACCACGTTGTATTTCTCATCCCAGATGCTGTTTTCTCATGAGAACAGGTATGTGAGGAACTGAAAGAGTCACCAATGTGGAATCATGGTGGGGCAGGAGTTGATGGTGGCTGGCCATTCCTAACTGATGCCCACATAAGGGACAGGCAGCTCTGACTCATGAAATCAAGAGATGGTCCCCAAACCTCAGTAGCCCAGGACTTCAGTGCAGATGGTGCAGACTGTGGCCAACCCTCTCCATACAAGTGCTTCACAGACACACACAGTATTTTCCTTTCTAAGGTTTGTCCCCAAATATTTGATCCTGTAAGAGTGTCTACATCCTACATGGAAGTTCTAAGTCATAACAGTAACTAAACATTTGTGAGTCCAAGACTTAACTTCAGAAACAGAGCATTGCTGGTGTGAGAACATCAACATGGTTAAGAAGGGGGCTGGAGAGATGGCTCAGCGGTTAAGAGCACTGACTGCTCTTACAGAGGACCTGGGTTCAATCCCTAGCACCCACATGGCTGCTAACACCCATTCATAACTCCAGTTCTAGGGCAATCCAACACCCTCTTATGACCTCCACAGGCACTGCATGACACAGTTGCACTTACACACATGCAGGCAATATGCTCATACACATAAACATAATAAATAAAAAATATTTTTTAAAAGAATGGTAAGAAGATGTAGGTCCTGGTAGTTCAGGTCTGTCTGTCTTCCTGCTACTCAGAAAGTTGAGGTCAGAGGATGATGAAAGAAGGGTGTGACTCAGTGACAGACCACTTGGCTAGCACGACTGAGTCCCGGGTTCAATGTACAGTACTGAAAAATGTAGGCAAATAGAGAAAGGGGGAGAGAATATTTCCTACCCCGGTTCCCCCATCTTAAAAGAAAAGAAAGTAGGTCTGGAGAGATGGCTCAGTGGGTAAAGCACTTGATGCCATGACACTGAACCCACACAAAAGCTGAGCATGGTAGTGTCTGTCTGTGATCCCTGGCTTCTATCTCACAGAGATCTGCCTGACTCTGCCACCCAAGTGCCACCATGCCCTGCATTTCCCGACATTCTTGCCAGTACTCATTGTCATTTGTTACCTTTCTTTCTTTAAAGCAATTTTTATTTTGCCAAGTGAGGTGATGCATGCCTTTAATGCATGCCTACCACAAGATGGGAAGCTGGTAGGCCTGCTAGCCTGGCATGTGCTCCAGCCAAGGAGAGACCCTGCCTCAAAAAAGAATCGACACTTGAGGCTGTCCTCTGACTCTCCACACACACCATGCCATGTGCATGCCTGAGTGTGTGCATGTGTGCACAAGCACACACATACACACACACACACACACACGAGATCAAAAATAAGTAACATAATAAAAAGACTTCCAGGGGTATAGATCTATGGTAGAGGGCTTGCCTGGCATGCTGCAGGCCCCGAGTTCTATGCTCAGCACTGCAGAAATAAACAGGCAGGGGAGGATGCAGGGAGTTCCCTATCTCCCCACTGTGTAGCACCTTTAAAAAAAAGAAATCAGAAATATAAACTGCCCAGAGCCACACTGTACTGCCCCACTGGGCAGGTGCCACCCACATCCTTTCTGTCTGTCCTCCTCCATCATCCGTACAGTATCAAGCATCACCTAGAAATGAGTTGCAGGTCCATCTTTGGGTTTGTTCAGCGTTCTGTTTAGCTGGTTTCTCCCTGGTGGCAAACGCCCTCTGGTGGCAAAATCAAGAAACCCAGGGAGGAAAGTATGAGGCAAGGGAAGGCCTGGAGGAGCCTGGAAAACACTTGTGGTGTTTGAATTAGAATGTCCTCCGCGGGCTCAAGTGAGAAGCACATCACTGGGGGTGGGCTTTGAGAGTTCAAAGCTTCACCCCACTTCCAGTTCACTCTCTCTGGTTCGTGTCTGTGGTTGAAGATGTGATCTCTCAGCTCAGCACCAGCCACCATGCCTGTGGCTTGCTGCCATGCCTCCCCGCACGATGGCCTCTTAACCCCTTGGATCACTGGGGGTGGGCTTTGAGAGTTCAACGCTTCACCCCACTTCCAGTTCAATCTCTCTGGTTCGTGTCTGTGGCTGAAGATGTGATCTCTCAGCTCAGCACCAGCCACCATGGCTGTGGCTTGCTGCCATGCCTCCCCGCATGATGGCCTCAACCCCTTGGAACTATAGTCCAAATAAAAGCTCCCTTCCATACATTGCTTTTGGTCATGGTGTTTTATCACGGCAACAGAAAAGTAACTAGTCCAGCACCCCAGACAGAGTCAGTCCCAAGGTGCCTGACCACAGTGCCTTCTGAGGGGAAGGGACACGGGAAGGCTCATGGGCAGGCCCCAGTCCACTCACCTCATCCACAAACAAGAAGGGCTCTGAGGTTTCCCTCATCGTATCGTCAATAAACTTGGTCATCCGCTCCCGGACTTTGCTTAAATCCTGAGCCCAAAGCTCCTGAAAATGGCAAAGACAACACAAGATGACCAAAGACAATTTCCCTCGTCTCCAGGATCTGGCCAGGCTGGCCAAAGACCAAACCTTCACCCACTTTCAAATCCACTTGCCATCCAGGCCCCTATCCTGAGCATGGCCTTGAAGGGGTCAGGAAAAGTCTTCTGCAAAGGGTCAGAGAGTTCCCCTTTTATGTTCTGAAGGTCACACAGTGCTGTGTGTCATCATCACTCAACTGTCACTGTGGTGGGAAAGCAGTCACCAACCACACACAGGCAAATGAACATGACTACATTCCAATAAAACTTTATTTACAAAACCAAGTGTTGGGACACACATGAGGCTCCCTCTGCTTGGTCACTCCAGGCGGCCAGGGAGCATGGTGGCTATGGCAGTGTTTCAGTTTGAATGAAAACTGTGTCCCAAAGGCTCCTGTGTTTGGACACTTGGTGCCCAGCTGATGGTACTGTTTGGGAGGGTTGTGGAAGGTTGTGGAAGGGGGTATCTTGCTGGAGGAAGTACGTCACTGGGGGGGAAGGGGGCGGGCCTTGAGGTTTTGTACTTCAGTACCAATTCCTGTTTGCTCTGCTTCCTGACTGCTGATGCAGTATGACCTGTCTGCCTCCTGCTCCCACCGCCATGCCTTTCCCACCATGAGGGACTGTACCGCCCTCCCAATGTAAACCAGAATAAACCCTGCCCCTTACAGCACTTCTTGCTGGGCATTTGGTCACAGCAAGGAAAGAAGTAATATAGCCTGCTGGGGTGTCTCCCCCGGCTTGGTCAAGGTGGCAAACTGCATGCCCTCTTCCTGTCTCCTCACTCATGATATGAGAATAGCAACGTTACTAACTGCCCAGGGCTCGGGGAGGGACCGCATGGAATCAGTCGTGTGCTAACAACACAGCATTCTGCACCTAGAAAGCCTCAGTTTCCGGCAGTTCATGCAAATAATCACCACCCTTGTACGGCCTTCTAGTCCACACTACCCTGTAATCACAGAGAGTCACCGTCATCTCAGAGGGGAGGACACAGGCTCGGGACCATCACAGGGCAATCCCAGGTCCCCAGACTTGGTTAAGTAGCAGAGCCTGGGGTTCAAATCACTCAACTTGGGAGGATGCTTCCTGATGACATCTAAGATCTACAGGACCAGTTCAACAGCAAGTTCAGCACCACACTGGACATCACAAAAGAGTGCATGGCATCCAGCAGATTTCTCATTTTCCTCTCCACACCCTCCAACTCCAAATATTCATAGACCAAAGGGATGAGAGATGGCATGCAGACCCAACACTGACAACGCCTCCTGGGCTTCACACATTCTAAAACATCTCTCCTTGTGGCTAACCAAAGCAAATGTGCCCCCAGATGAGGGTGTGGTTGGGTGGGAAGGGTCGGGAGGATGTCAGAAGGAACAGGAGCCCAAAGACAGACTAAAATGGAATGCTGAGGTCCAGCCATGCCAGCACAGGGCTGAGAACCTGCATCATCCCTGTAGCTGACCCCCAAGTCTCCCCGGATCACAGACATCAAAACAGGCAGCCAGCTGCAGGATGGAGTGTTTCCTTGAACAGAGATGTGTTAAAGTCTGGAAACACTGCATCAAGTAACTCAAATCGTAGGATAGTGGGTGCAAACACCTTGGCTGGCCCAGATGTCTCAAGGGCTGGATGTTCCCTCTGTCCTTCCCCTGTAAAGCTGACACTTTCATGGAACAGGTACTTGTTAGTAGAACTTGGGATTGTCCTAACTGTGCAGAGACTGGACTCTTCCTAAAGGGGTTTAGAATGTCAATATTCTGGCAGGGTTCAAAATGCACCTATGGGCTGGTCAGATGGTTTAGCAGGGTAAAGGTGCCTACCATCAAGCCTAACAACCTGAATTTGATCCCTGGGCTCCAAGTGGTAGACGGAGAGAAACGGCTTCCTCAAGTTGTCCTCTGACTTCCACCTACAGACTGTGGCGCCAACACGTGCACATCTACACATACACATATAATCAATGTAAAAAAAGTTAACGTATCTACCTGGTGTGGGGTACTGCTTAGGCACCTATACAAAGGACAAAAAATAGTGATGAAAATAATGGTGTCCAGGGCTAGCAGCCAACATTGGGCACCAACTGTATGCCTGGCCCTTGCTAAGAAGTTTCCTCTACATGACTTGTCTGGTTCTCACTATTAATCCATCCTCCGTGTTACATTTGGGGAAACTGAGCCTCCATTCTTGAATAACTTGACCCAGTGATGAGACTGAGACCATTCCCAAGCCCATCAGCTCTAGAGACTAACATCCCACATTTTTTATCTGGCTTTTTGAGGCTGCAAGTGGGCATCACCACACCCAGCACCTTTAGCCCTTCGAGCAGGGGAACTATTTAATCAAAGCACATGCACCTTACTTTAAAGTTTTCATTCCATATAGCCACAGTTTCCTGGAAGAGTTATACTAATTCACACACTAAGGGCGACCCTGGCCATTAAATCTGACAACTATCGTCCCAAACAAATGTCACCCAGAGGCTTAGGGTGCTTGGGTCTTCACACTCAGATGCAGAGAGGACTCCTTAATATCTGACCTGGCTGTGTACCCCTGACCTCTAGGGGCAGCCCAGCCAGGGGAGAAGTTTAGGGAAAAGCCTGCAATTCTTTCTGAAATAAAGTTAGCGACCACTAGGTGGCGCGGCATCCATGCTCTCAAATCATCACAGGCGATGTGTTGTAGGATACTAGGATGCTTAGCAGCCTCCAGGAATGTAATCGATTTAACTTTAGTGGCTCTTTAAAAAAATGGACAATTTGACACAAAGAAGATAGATAAAAAATAAAAATGCATGTTTGTCCTTACCAGAACAAAACTTAGCTGTCACTGTACCCAAAAGGATTCATTTCCACTTCATTTAAACATCCTCCAAGTCTTAAGGCTCAATCAAGGCAAACAAACCTACTCTCCATCAGCTTCATCCCAAGTCCCAGGCAGGTAAATGTGATGCTCGTGACTAACATCAAAATGCTGTTTCTCCGCCACCCAGCACCCCAGGCCAGCAGCTGCCATGACCCGGCCCTCAGGGCTGCTGGCCTCCTGACAATGTGTCTTCTCTGAGCATTAGCCTGCCTGCAGTCAAGAGAATTCCAACACAGAACTGGGTGTGATGGGACAACCTGTCATCCTTGCCAATAGGAGCCTCGCAGTTGGAGACACCCATTGGCACTGGACAACAGGCTGAAGTCCCTGCCTCAGAAAGCCCACAGTACAGTCCTGGGCCCCCCGCAGCCCCGAAGCCCTGCAGTCCTCACCTGCTGTTCATGTAAGAGAAACCTCTGGAAGTCCTGCAGGTAGACAGCAGATGCATCTGGCCGGTCTGTGTTCCTGCCCTCAGGGAAGGCGACAGAGAGGGTGGTTAGAAAGAAGGACATTCGAAAGAGTAGGTCCATCTCTACCCTGAGCCCCACTGTGCTAAGCATACCACTAGCCCCATATTTGAAACATAAAAGGTTCAGAGAGGAATCCCAACTCCTGAATCCAGGAAGGCCCCAGGCTGCCTGCGGGAGCTCCCTTGTGGTCCTGCTGCCATGGAGGTCTGACAAACACTTTGAGGAATGTGGAGCCCAGATGAACCAAGCCATGGAGACCAGAGCACAAAGAGACACTGGGGAAAGCAGAGTTCCAACCTCAACCTGGGCACCACAGACGCTTCTACAGTAAAGTCTTCAATCCAGAGAATGAGAAGAGCTCAGCCCCATGGAGAGAACGAGGAGGTAAAGGACTCAAAGGAGAGGAGGGGAGGAGGGAAGAGGAGTGGAAGGAGGGAGAAAGTGGGAGAGTAGAGCAGGCAGGGAAGGGGGCACTCAGCCTGCAGTGTGCCTGGCTCATGCTAGGACAGAGCCCAGCATGTGGTCCATTTACTAGAAGCTGATACTGGACCCTCATCCAGACCAGGTCCTGGGGCCTCCTCAGAAGCTGCAGCCCAGAGCCTGTGTGGTGCTGGAGGGCTCTGAGGATAGGGAGAAAGGGCTAAAGCAAGTGATCCCAGGAGTGTCACAAGGCCAGGGCACCAACAGAGGAATACCGTGATTGGGTCTCTGCCCCAACCCGGGCAGGCCCTGCATGGCCAGCAACTGCAGTGGCTGCTTCCATAAAGCCGGGCTCTGCTGGGCTGGCCCCAGCCAACACTGGTATCCAGTGGGACCTGTGTTCCACAGAACAGAATTTCCTAGAGAGGAGCCGAGCTCCTGGGCATGCAGAGCGCTGGGGCAGGGGTCCTTGTAATCCAACTAAGGCGAGAAAATGGACTATCAGTTGTCTCCTTTGCTGCCCTCAGAGTCCTGAGTCCACTGTCCTTCCCCATTGGGACATCTGTGCCCTTCCTCCCTGACCAGCCCACAGGTTCCCATCATCCTTTTCACCAAGACACAGCATGAAGACCAGACTCATTGGTCATGACCTTTGGAGACTTAGGGTTCTAGTTTGGAAAGTGACAGTCACTCAACGAGGACTTGATCTCTGTGTCAGAGGTCACTCTCTAGGGGCCATTCACTCCACGGCAGGCATGTGTCCTGGTCAGACAGGCTTGGGAAACAATGGACACTTTATAAATTCCCCACCTACGGAATCATACAACACAGGAAAGGTTTTGACAAGTCCTGCAGCACAGACTTTCTTAATGATATTATTTATATATACGAGTTCTTATCACATGTCACAACTTTGGTTCATTTTACTTTGGTTTAACCTACTTAATTAGGAAAGGGAAAGGAACTCAGAACGGAAAAAGGAGGGGAGAAACCCACTGGCTTCCCTGAAGCCCTAGGAAGGAAGCCCGAGGCTCACAGCCCTTGCTACAGAAACCTCTGGACTTTCCTCCCAACACTCCACATCCCATGGCTGCTGTTCATTTCTCCAAGCTACGGGCCTGAGATCAGTCACTGCACTCAGTGGCATCCGCTATGCACACACAATCACTCTGGACAACAGCAACGCACAAGTGGTGGCTCACCCCAGGATGAACACAGAGGAGTCCTTCTTGAATTCGTCGAGTATCTGAAATGGAAAACAAGAAGAGCAAACAAGTCAACTTGATGCCAGTGAGACTCTTGTTTAAAAATAGTCAATATTCCCCGAAAGTCCTAGGGAAAAAGCAGGGTCACGCTTCAACTTACAGGCTCAAGCAAGGACCTTCCGAGTAAGACCCAGCAGCATGGGAAATAAAACCAAGGACAAATGGGATGTCGTGAAACTCAAGTGCTTCCGTATAACAAGGAAAGGATAAAACAAGGGACGAGGTGGCTACAGAACAGGCTACAGCTCTTCATCCACAGGGGATTAGTGTCTAGAATATACAAAGAACTCAACAAAACTAAACATGAAGAAATGGCAGCCAGGCATGCTGGTGGCCTTTAATCCCTGCCCTCAGGAGGTAGAGGCAGGTGGATCTCTATATGTTCAAGGCCAGCTGGGTCTACATAGTGAGTTCCAGGCCAGCCAGGGCTACACAGTAAGACCCTGTCTCAAAAAAAGGGGAAGGAGGGCTGGAAAGATGGCTCAGTGGTTAAAAGCACTGATTGCACTTGCAGAGGACCTGGGTTCAATTCCCAGCACCCACATGGGAGCTATAAATCATCCTTAACTCCAGTTCCAGGGGAATCCAACACCCTCTTCTGACCTCCGTGGTACTGCATGATATGGGTACACTCATACACATGCAGGCAATACTATTCATACATATAAAATAAAAATAAATAAAAATGAATTATATACATACACACAAAGAAAAAAGGGGAGGGATTATGGACCTGAACATAAAATTCCCAACAGAAGAAATACAAATGCCTAGGAAATGCTTTAGAAAGTGCTCAATGTCCTTAGTCATCAAAGAACAGCCATTATCTGGAACGCAAAAGGCAACAAATAGTGGTATGGATGTGGGAAAGGGGAGCTCTTCTTGTTCACTGTTGCTGGGGGTATAAACTAGCACAGCCACTCTGGAAACCAGTCTGTAAGTTTCTCAAGAAACTAGAAACTAAGCTGGGTGTGGTGGCACACACATTTAATCCCAGCACTCGGGAGGCAGAGCCAGGAGGACCTCTGTGATATCAAGCCCAGCCTGGTTGACACTGAAAGTTCCAGACCAGCTGTGGCTATAGGGAGATGCTGTCTCAATAAATAAATAAATAAATAAATAAATAAATAATAATAAAGACAAAAAAAATTGAAAGGTGAGCTGAGACTGTAACTCAGTGGTACAACACTTGCCTAGCATGTATGAGGCCCAGGGCTCAATCCCCACACAACAATAAAAAGATGAGGAAAAAAATTCACCCATCTGTTCATTCATTCAATCAAAAATATGATACGTAAAGCATTGTGCTAAATCTAACAAAGAATAAACATAATGGATAAAAACAATTCATGTTTTCAAGGATCTTAAAAGTGCAAAGGGAGTAAAGGTATGTATATAAGACATCTGGTATTTCTTTTTCTTTTAACGAACTATAGACAGTATATAACAAAGTATCACAACAGTGATATAAATCAAAGAGATTCACAAGAAAGAATCTCGAATATATAAAGGGAACAGCAGAGTGGAGAATATGATGAGATTCCTTCTTGATGAGGTACCATGCATAGGCAGATAATCCTGATCCCAGAAGCCTTGAGTTATTAGAAGAAAATCCCAGTGCTATGTGTATAAGACACCGTCCTGGAGTTGTTGACCAGGAAGGTCCTAAGGCCTCCAAAACCATACGTTATAGCCACTGCCATTGGTTGTCCACCAAAATGGAATGCTATGATCCTACTTCTGAAGATACCACACTCCTTGGTTGCAGAATACAAAGAAACCATACTAGACTGATAGCTTCCTAGCTTTCTCCTTGATGGCTAGCCATCTTCACAGTGCTACAAGTTGCTAGGCAGACAGCTGGGAGAGAAAAGCTGGTCTTCTCCAGCTTCAGATTGTGTGTGTTATAATAACAACTTGCCAAGCAACATGTGCTTACTGATGCAATAGTGGCATGACTGTTACGGGGTAACCAACTTATTTCTGACTGCCTCTGAAGCCTGCTCCGTATGAGGAAGGTCATACCTGCTTCTGTGGACCTGGTCAAAGGTCCATGGAGCTAGGGTGGTTATAAGAACTAGGGTCAAACCCACTACTATTGTCTTGGTAATTTGACATGTTGTCAAATTGCCATCTAAATATTTACATTTATACCCACAGTCCTGGGCTGCTCTCAACCTAGGTGGGAGTGGATTCTTCTTGCAGCAATCAGCAGTCAATACAGAAAATAAAACTGACTGCTCAGCCCTAAATGGAGCATCTATATCAACCTCTGATATATCCCAAGGATGGGGAGCATCCAGGAAGAGGAGGTAGAAAGAAAGTTAAGAGCCAGAGGATAGGGAGGAGAGCTGTGAAATGCCATCTTCTGGAAACAATATGGCTACCACACTCATGAACTCACAGCAGCTGTGATTGCCTGCAAAGATCAAGTAGGCTAACATTCCCTCATAGTGAGACTGGAGAGAGGGATCAGTGGTTTAGAGCACTGGCTGCTCTTACAGAGAACTCAAGTTCAGTTCACAGCACCCACATGGCGGCTAACAACCATCCATCACTCCAGGAGAACCATCACCCTCTTCTGGCCTCAGCAGGCATTGCATGCATGGGTGCACTCCCATACATGCAGGCAAAACACTCATATGCATAAGATGAAAATAAATTAAATATAAACAAATAAATTTTAACTTAAAATTCCCTTATAGATAGGGAGGCGCACTCCAGGCCCCAACCCCTTAGTGAGGAGCTACTGACATGATAGCTGCTGGGAGAGAGAATCATTTTTTCTTTTTTAAATATTCATTCTTAATTATGTGTATGTGTGTGTGTGCACATGTGGATATGTAAAAATAAATTAAATATAAACAAATAAATTTTAACTTAAAATTCCCTTATAGATAGGGAGGCGCACTCCAGGCCCCAACCCCTTAGTGAGGAGCTACTGACATGATAGCTGCTGGGAGAGAGAATCATTTTTTCTTTTTTAAATATTCATTCTTAATTATGTGTATGTGTGTGTGTGCACATGTGGATATGTACATGTGAATGCAGGTGCTGGCAGAGGCCAGAGGCATCGGATCCTGTGGAGCTGGAGTTACAGATCAATGTTGTGAGCCGCCTGACACGGGTGCTGGAGATCAAACTCAAATCCTCTGCAAGAGCAGGACATGCTCTTAACCGCAGAGTCATCTCTCCAGCCCCTAAGAATTTATTGTTTTTGAGGATGTTCCCACAGGTATGTTTCCCATGCTTCATGGGTGCCCCGTGTGGACCCATATATATACGGGCAGCATGGACTGGACTTAGTGGATGTCCTAGTTTGTTTCTTCATCGCTGTGACAAAAAACTCTGACCACTACCAACTTGGGGAGGAAAGGGTTTATTTAGCTTCTATCTCTCCAGTCACAGTTCATCCGGGAGCCCAAGGTAGGAACTCAGGGCAGGAACCTGGAGGCAGGAGCAGGACCCCAGGCCATGGAGGAACGCTGCTTACTGGTTTGCTCTCCTGGCCCCTGCTCAGCCTGCTTTCTTATGCAACACAGGCCCACCTGCCCAGAGGTGGCACCACCCACAGTGGGCTGGGCCCTCCCACATCACTCATCAAGAAGATGCCCCTCAGACATGGCCACAGGCCAGTCCAATAGAGGCAATTCCCCAATTGAGGCTCCCTCAACCCAGATGTGTCAAGTTGACACTAAAGCTATCCAGCACAATGAGTTACCAAAAAAGAAGAAAAAGATATGAAGCTGGGTTAGGGACATTAGGAGGAATATGTGGGAACTGGAGCATGGAAATGGGGGGTGGATATGATTATATTTCATTGTATACCTACAGGAAATTCTCAAAAATAAAGAAAAATTCAAATTTTAAAAGAATTATTAATGTTTCATTTCAGGGTTGTAATGCAAAGCTAGTTCAACCAATAACAAAGCACAAATGTGCTACAGTGCCTGAAGAAGTCGGGGACAGAAATCACATGATCATTAAAGAAGGCAGAAAAACGAAAAAAAAAATCCAAAGATTGATGTGGTATTGGATGCACTGGTTCGTGCCTATAATCCCAGCACTCAGGAGACTGAGGCAGGCGAGGTGGATGGTCGTTTTAAGACCAACCTGGACTACACAAGGAGACCTTGTCTTTAAAAAAAAAAAAAAGTCCCTTACCCAAAAAAAAATCCCAGGGGAAACATTGGAAATAAGCCTGGAAAGGAGCAAGGG